ACGATTATACATGATTTATGTTGTAATTATTGACTTAATATGTGAAATATATATTTATTTAAATACCTTCTTATAAATTATAATGTTTATCTATGTTATGTCAGTAATAATATGATTAATAAGACACATTCAGAAATTTGTTTATTAACAGTAAGTTATAAATATATTCTTTATAAACCTATTAACCCTATACGGTTTTGATTGAAAAATACAAAAAAAAGTAACTTTAAACTTTTAAACTTCATTAAGTAATAAGAACTTCTTACTTATACATTTTTTCGGGTGGAATTTACATGTACTTTATTTTACCTGAAGTTCATTTTGGGCAGAATTTACTATTTTCGGGTGAAATTTACATGCGTTACCGCCGCGCCGTCGCAATCACTGCCACCAAAATCGAAGAACAGTAGCGAGTAGCGCGTGCGACCCTGGTACACGGAGTCCGCAGCGTATACCCGAACACACACTCTGCTTCAGGTAACGTCACACTATTGCGGTTGCGCCGCGCGGTTGGTTACTGTGCAATCACTATGCGGTAAAAACGCGCTCATTTGCACATTCATTTTGTTGGTCATCATCAAGGCTAGGATTTGTATGCAATAAAAATTGTAAAATATGCAAAAATTTGCAATTAAATTTTTATAAGATAAACACAAAAATATAGTCATAAAAAAAAATAGTCATTTGTTGAAATACATCAGTGATGGCTATTTGTCTTAATATAATATAGGTAATCGAGGAAAAAAAATAATAATTTATAATTCACATTCACTACGTGTGCTACATGCTACGAGTTACGACCACATATTTTTTTTAAATTTTCGAAAATGAATGTCAAACTATTCAATCTTTTATTGCATACCTATTGTATTTATAAAAATAAAATTTATGTTTGCCAAATAATCAAATTTTCTGAAATATACTATAAATTATAAAACATGCATTTTTCGCCCTCTTATAATCGAAATATGTAATAACATTCATTTTATTCAATATATGCAATAATATGCATTTCATCCAAAATATGCAAAAACATGCAAAATAAAAATACCACTATTTATTTCATCATAGGTGATTCGTGGACATTACTGACAAAATTAATAATGAGAAATCGTAAAAAAAACATGCTGCTACATATAAATCCTATAGCCCTGGTCATCATATTTTTATTTATTTATTTTTATTCAAATTAATATCGAAACATTAATGGGCCTCACTGAGGAAAACTCGTGTGGAGCCCCATGGGTTATCTAGATTACAAGTAATTCTTATGGTTTAAAGGTACATGTTACATTTTTAAAATACAAATAAGGAGTTTTTCATAAATAAATCACATAAATAATTCCAGTAACTAAGATAATTGGTGAATTAGAATGTTACATACAATTTTAAGTTTTACACACATATTCATATCGTAACCAGTGGTTAATTTTTTTTTTGAATATGGGTAACGGGACATCAAGTTAAGTATCTGTTTTCCCAAAAAATAGTAAACTAATATTAACTAAAAAATAATAATTAATACTAACTAATATTAGATGTTTTGTGCTTATGTGCTTACCCGATCACTTTTTCCTAAACAGTACAGGGGCGCATTAAGGGTTCACATATGGGGGGCAAAATTATTTTGCGCCCCTGGTGTATTTTATGAATATTAATAAAAGTATAAAAAACTTAAAAAAAATTTCCTCGCTGCGCTCGAAAAATTAAGTTAGTACCTTACATTTCATACAGTTATTATACCTACATAGATATCTTATTAAATTAATTACTAAATATCTATTTAGAACTTGGAATAATAATCCTTTCTTTTAAAATAGTACTGGTAATTGGAATATTTATTATGTAAAATGTTTATATTTCATTAACTAATAAATACCTCCTAGTAAGCAACTCCTATATTTTTAGTTATTTATGGAGTACCTATGTATTAAGCATTGACTTATAATAATAAATATATCTTTATTCTTTATTAACAATAAAATATTATTACATATTATAAAACTATTTAAATGACAAATATGGAACAATACTAATTCAAATATTTTCTTATTTTTTTGTTCACAAACTCTTTTATAATACTTGACCAATCAATATTTCTAATCATCTCATTTTCTATTGACAGCCATAGGCGCATATTGGGTGTGAATTCAGGGGGTGCTGGGATAATTTATGGTTCACACCTCCTAATCCTAATATTTCTGCATTGCATTAGATTTAATTTGTATAGTGTATACAATAATTTCTAAAGTGCAATGTATCAAATAGTCTGTATGATTGTAAAGAAGACGCTAGGTACACCCACATGTGTTGTCTCCGTATTACAGACGTAGGTACAACATAGGCAAAACTGTTTTGCACGGGTATAAAAAACATTCAGGCTCTACTCTAAGCTAAGAAACTAAATGTTCACACTATAAAAATGAGAAAATTTACTCTGTAACTTTGTTTTTATATTTCCGATATCAAAACCAAAATAAAAGTTATTTAAGTTTGATAAACAAAAAAAGGTGCTCTGCTGTACAGTAGGGTACAAGTGGGTCACTGTATAATCGATGGTATTAAATTTGAATTCAATGATATACTAACATCATTGTATAAGAAAAACGATTCTGAGCGAAGACGGTTAGTCAGCCTATGATATTACTAAGTATATTTGATGATACTAAGGTGAATAAAGCAATTTACCTATATATAACCTATTTACGTAGAATCTTGTTTTAAATTTTCAATCATTAGCTATAAAAGTTGAACATTTTATAAATTTTTAACTATAAAATTATTATTAAATTTTAAATGTGATACATTTTGTCAAAATTTGAATTTTAAATAATTATTAAAAAAAATTGTGCCTATGTATTTTTAATATTTTTCAAGTGTTATTGTAACAATATATCAGGAGCTTTGCATTAAATTTTCAAGCTTTTTTACCATACAAATAAAATTTTATTGATATGAATAGAAAAAAAAATTAAAATATTGAAAACTGAAAATGTCCGTAAATAGCTCAAAAAGAATCAAAATATTTTCAAAACTATATGGTGTATAGGAAATGCTAATATAAAAATTTAGTAAAATTTTCAAGTATCTACAGTCATTCGTTTTTTAATTACAACAAAATTAGAAAATCGTTACATGAGAAATCGAGTAAATATCAAATGTTGTAAAAATATGAATTTCAAACGTTCATAAAAATTTAATTTGAGATTCTTGTAGACATTTTTTTTTTTGATAAAGGTAGACAAACTTATGAGGAATCTTGCATTACTTTTTCATATCTAAGATTTAAAAAGAAAATTTTTTATGAATTTCTAACTCGAAATAATTTGCAAATTTTCGTCATTTTCACGTATTTTGTCAATATTTGGAATTTAAATGCTTATAACAATTTGACCCCCCAAAGTACCAACTAGATTCACTTTCCTATCAGAAAAGATACTGTTGAAGAAAATCCAAGCACTTTTACTGCCCTAAAAGATGATGACGGACAAAAAAAAAAAATGAATTCGTGAATTCGTAAACAGTTGTCAATATTTGTAATGAAAAGAAAAATTCCGAATCAATAAACCACGATAGTTTATAAATGATTGGTGAAATACTGAAATAAACTGAGGGTGCTAGTTTGAAGCTTGCATATAAATGCCCATCTCATACTATGACATAATTTTATATACATAATTTATAACGTTTAATAGTACATTAGTATGATAGTTCTAATTATTATTAGTTGTTTCTTAAACCCGAGTTTTCCATTATGTCATACAATTTGTATGTTTTCTTTTTGACTCTGAGATACAAAAAAAAAAAATTACAAAAATGTACCGCCCCCAAAAAACTTCCGCCCGGGGCAAATGCCCCTTTTGCCCCCCCTTAATGCGCCCCTGAAACAGTATCAACAAAAATCGAAATGTTGGGAAAATTAGTTTTCCAAATTCTTTGTTTTCAATGTTGAAATTATTATTTTCACTCACTTTTTTTTTTTTTAGATTCTTTATTGGTTTTACAATGATGTGTATTTTTTTATTTATTTTTGTGACTGTACCTACTACCTACACGATTAGTAGTCTAGATAATGCTTAGATTTTCAACTTCAGTATCTTGTTCGATGGGAAAGTGAATCTAGTTGGTACTTTTGGGAGGTTAAAGTTTTATATTCACAATAGCTTAAAAAGCACCAGGAAAAACAAAATGAAAATTTAGGTAAAACGGTAATTTTTACTCAAAATCGGTTTTTGATAAAATTGATTTTGCCTTTTGGTATAACTCTAAAACAAATGATCATAAATACATTAAATGTTCACTGAATGATTATATTAGAGCCTTTTCTCTACATAAAGACATTTTCAAAATATTTTGACTTGTTTTGAGCTGTTTAAGGATATATTCAGTTTCCAACTTTTTAAGTTTTAGATTCTGAGTGAAACGATGAAAATCAATAGATTTTACAATGATGTGTGTTTTTTTTTATTTTTGTGTCTGTCACCTTTTAGGACAGTAAAAATGCTTCGATTTTCTTCATCAGTATTTTTTTTGATAGGAAAGTGAATTTAGTTGGTACTTTGGGGGGTCAAAAGTAAAAATTTAACACCAGCAAATCAAATTAAATTTTTACGATATTTTTATAATATTATAAATCTATGCATGGCACACAGTTTTAACAATTTCTTTTTGTGCAGCGACCTCTGGTCCGAATTTTGGGCGGCGAACAAGAGCAACGATTTTTTTGGTAGATAGCGTCCTCGGTCGTACGGTTATCGATCCTGCACAATCGATTGGTCAGCTCCACTATCATTTTTCCCCACCGCTCACCGTACCATTGTTTATCAACACAAGTTTGAAATTCGATAACAGGGAACCCGGTAAAAATAAATCAATACGGTATTACGATGATAAAATTCGGGGTATCCGTCGTAAATCATTGCCGTTCGCCGACGATAAATTTGCCCGATTGACTTGCTGCCGGCCGTGCAAGGAGTATGTCTTGACCGCCATCTGTCACTATGTTGCCCGAGGTGGACGGTATTGAACAGTTGTACAGGCGATTTTTCCAGGAAGCCCAAGAATTACCCAAGTGAGTTATCCAACTTGGCCACAGCAATACTTGTCTCTCTGTCGTTTGCCCTTGGTAAATCATCATAATTAATAATTGCCCACGATTTGTCTAGGAAACAACATGTTAAAAAAAATTGTCAGAAAGCTCAAAAAGGATCAAAACTGTACAAGGTAAGACTACCAATGTTATTACTTCTCGATATTATTATTGTTGTCATTTAGTACTGAACTGACCAATTATGATTTGTTTCATTTTCATAGGATGGAGGGTGGACCATGTACGTATCGGGAAATGCTTCATCCTTTGCAGTACTATCGGCCGCTCGATATGCTGTGTTTGATAGACATGCTAAAAAATCTGACGAAGCATACTGGAACTCATCATCAGCTCCAATATGTGTCAAAACTCTTAACCGAGTGCTACAGTCTTCAAACAATATTCAGGCTATTTCGTGTTCAGAAATTTTCATCCCTAAGGCTAGTTAAAGAACATTTTAGGGAATGCGTCTTAAAACTAATATCTGTTGTTATTTTTAGGTAGTAGGCATAGGCTTACGTAGTGTATTTGAACTAATTAAAGAGAGTAGAGTACCATCACCAGACATATGTACTAAAGCTTTAATGGCTTTGTTAGATATCATTCAGTACCAATCTCCAGAAGCTTTAAAAGATGAACCATCAGAAGTTATAGGTAAGTACATACCAATTAAGAAGCTAAATTGCATATGATTTTATATTTTTAATCATAAATCATTACAAATTGTATAGATCCATTATATGAACTTTTATTGGATATGGCAACTGGAAACTATGATAATGGGACTTATGATTTTAAAGCAGTTTCGTGTTCTTGTCTTATAAGTTTAGTTATAGTTAGAGGAGATACTGGTAAAATATTAAACACTTTGACAACATTAATCATGTGCCCAAATAATGCATCTCCTAGAAAAATAATTGTAAGTAACGGTAAATTTATAATTTCATACATGAGCATGTTTATTAATATGATTTTTTTTAGTTACCAAAAGTCTTGACTAGTCTGCAAAAATGTGTCCGTGTTCTTACTCATGGGGATTATGAAACTCCTGATTGGATGTCCAATGGAGTTCCAAAATCATCTGAAATTATAACATTAAATTTGAACTATTTACAGAGTACTTATTAAACTTTAAATATAACTATATTTTAGCATTAATAAAATGTAAAGTTCAGTTTCTAAATTTCATTTTTTTGTTTTATAAGATGTCAAAGGAATGGCATGTGATGGAGATTATTTGTATACTTATTCAGAATATGGGTTTCATAAAATTGGTACTGGTTTTGGTGGTACAGTTAGTGGACATCCATATGTCAGTGTAGCTCGTACATCAAGTCTTAGTTTACATTCTAGTGATGTTTGTCTTGGATTTTATCAAGTTAGTACAATTGTTTATTTAATTACATCAATATGAATTTTTATATTTTTGGACTTCTGTTTCTAGAAAATGTTATACTTAAGGGTTTATTATGCAAACCAGACTTGCAGTCAAGAAATTGAATTTTTAGATAGAGATACATTTAAAAAATTAGGACGAGTTCAGCTAGATACTTCAGTCACATTGGATACGTCTTGTAAACCTGTATTCAATGATAAAGATAGATTATGTTTCCTTGATCAATCTGCAGTAAGTATTTTACTAGTTTATAATAACTAAATATAATTAACATTTTTTCCCCTTGAATAGAACAATTATGTGATTAAGAGTATTGATCCTAGTACTGGGAAACTTGTTAATGAAGTTCCTCTTGTATTAAGCCGTCGTAATGTACGAATTTATGGCGTTTCTGAACTATGGGATTCTATTACAGCTGAAAGTGCTATTAACAGTGCTACTGATGAAGAAGTATCTTCTGTTGCCACTTTAAAGGATTGTTTTATTATATCTGTTAAGTCTGGAAAAGTAAGTACAATATTTATGAATAAGGAGTTAAAATTCATATTTGTTCTTTATTTTCAAATAATTATTTGTTAGGCATTGCAATGGTTAAAATCGAATGGACAAAGTACTATGAATTGTTATCGTTCTGTATGGTCAGAGTTAAGTTTACCTAATCCATGTAAAATCATCAAAGTAGCAGCTGGTCATGATGGCTTACACTGTGTGTTGCTTTGCGATACGGGATCAGCTTATTTCTTAGGAGTATCACGACGTGGTGAAGATTGTGATAATGGAAGATACAGAAAGCAACCAAGAGTACTGAAGCCAAAAAGGATAACTAAAATAGATGGACAGTTTATCGTGGATGTAGCTTGTAATAATGGTACAACGGCATTAGTGACTAAAGATGGTCTTTTGTATATGTTTGGAAAAGATGATACTTATTGTGATATACATACTGGTAAATATTTATACTTACAATTTGAATACTCTCATTGATTTTTATCATTTACAGGTCTTGTAAAAGATTTAAAGAATGCTAAAATTGTTCAGATAGCTTTAGGAAAAGCACATGCAATTGCATTGAGTGCTAAAGGACACATTTATAGTTTTGGAATTAATAACAAAGGTCAATGTGGACGTGATATATGTATCCCTCAAACTAATAAAAACAGTTAAATATTATTTATTATTTATTTTGTTAATTTTTTTCTTTATCAACTTTTATAATGACATAACTTAATATATTGGTATAGATTATCCCGAAATAACCAATAATGAATCATTAAATCAAATTAGTTCTGTGGATGAACAGAGTATATTTGAGAATGACTGCGATGATAATAAACCTTGTGAAGATACTTGTAAGCCAGGACAACATAACTGGAAACATGATGTTTGCATGGTTTGTACTGTATGTGGTGAATGTACAGGGTATAGCTATAGTTGTCTTAGCAGCATACGATCCAATCGTAAATCTGGCCAGTAAGTTAACCTTAAATCAAGTATTCTATCTAGTCTAGAAATAATTTACTAATCAGTGCTTTTGGTACTCATTACTAATCAATCATCAGTCATTAATCATTAAAAAACCTATTTACAAAGAATTGTCCTTCATAGAATGCTACATGTTACACAATATTATAAGTAGAGACCAGAATTGTATGAATTTTCATATTCATACTCAGTGTATGCACAACTATGAGGGTTTGAAATGTGCTCGTTTTAAATCATACTGATTTGAGAAATTATATAGATAATATAGAGATTATATAGATAGTAGATACTATTATATATAAATATTTTGTTTAACATAGTTTTATGTTTACAAAACTGTATTTATAACAAATATGCTGCTCAAAGAATAGAAAAGAAATAGTAACATCGTTAAAACCAGGGTTTGAAACCACTGAACTAAATATAGTCGAATGAATATAAATAAAATTGTATGATTAAAATTTTAAACTTTTTCTAATGAATAATGCGGTGTCCAACGTAAAACCAGCAACTGCGTGCAATTTATATTCTGACGAGCCATTGTGTTCCAATCGCGTTTGTTGCTGCAAAATACAAGCAGTTTTGTTTTTTGACGCATCGGACGCATTTACTTTGGAAACGGAGTAAAAATGTGATTTATCTACTTAAAGAGATAATTTGATAATTGATAGTATAGTCTACTTAAGATATTCTGTATTAAATACTCTATAGCTTAGATTCGGAAATGTTGTGCATTTAGGAGCGTATTATGCATATTTGCATCATATTTAGCACCTTTTTGGTGCATATAATTCTGGTATCTGATTATACGTTACCATTTTCCATTTTTTTCTGATACCAGAAGTCACTGTTTTTATTTCAATTAAATGTCTTATAGCAGAATAATAGACAATCTACTATTTTTCCCACTTTAAAAAGAATTTAATATATTCTATCAATTTTTGTACAACATATAAGTTAAAATGCCCTGAATAAGTGTGCGATAACCATAGTAGTATACATCAGTTTTCTATATATTTTATTTTTAAATTGTTTAGAGAATGTGGTTGTGGTGAAGGAGATGCTGGATGCACTATATGTGGATGCTGTCGTATATGTGCTCGAGAAGTTGAAGATAATTCAGAATTAGCTTTGCTTGGACCAAATGGCGCTGGTGATTTAGCAGGAATGATGCGACTTGATGTCATATTTGGGATTGGAGGTATAAGAGGTTTAATTGATGTTACATGTTTAATTGAGTAACATTTATAATTTTTGTCATTAACTTATAATTTTTGATCAAAGATAAAGCAAAAACATCTCAAGAAGCAAGGCTTGAAGATCATTTAAAAAAGCGATTGAATAAACGCGAACAACGACAAAAATTTAATTCAGTACAAGCGGATTCTTCTAGGGATGCAGATATTGATAGTAGTGTACAAATTGCTAATAATACAAACATTCATTTTCAAACTCATAACAGTATAATAGCTCGGAGTTTTGTTGGTAAATACTCAAATATTAAATATATCTTATATCTTTAGTTTTTTTAAGAACATAGTGCAAAGTATTATCAATGATATTACTACATTTTTTATTCATTAGATGATGCAGTTAATAATCCAGGGAGTGATATAGAAAGGGATACTGCTAGAATGACTATTTTACCACCTGCCAGAATATTTTTACCTACAGACTGCCCGGTTATTCAAATTAGTTGTGGCTTACATCATACAGGTAATACGTTAAGATAAAATGCAATATATTTATTAATTCAAAATTTCTATATGATTTTATAGTATTGTTACTGAGCAATGGGAAAGTGATAACATTTGGTAGTAACTCTAATGGCCAACTCGGATGTAGTTTATCACTCAGTAGAAAAGGCCCAACTGTATTAAAAATACCTCGCTTAAAACATCCTATTATTAGCGTGTCAGCCGGTAGCAATCATACTGCGTTGGTATCAAAAGATGGTAAACTTTATACTTTTGGAAGTTATTTGGTAAACACTTAATATTATATTTATTTATTTAATATTATGCTGTTTATTATAATACAATTTTTGGAATGTAATACAGAAAAGTCAACTTGGTCGTGATAGTGGATGCAATCATGTACCATTGAGTGTAGAAGACATAAATCCACCTCACACCAGAAGAGCAAGAGTAGTTATGTGTTGCGGTAATCAAACAATTGTAAAAGTTGATGAGGCGTTAATAAATAGTAAAATCTTATCTATTGCTGCCAACAATGATACTATTTGTAAGTATTTTAAAATTTAATGATTTTGATTTAAACACTAACCATTAATTTTATCGCATGCCACTTAATAATTTATTTTTATTTAATATTTGAATTGCGGTTCCAATAATCAGTGGTGATGACTTCAAATAAATGCTTAGCTATTAACAAACAAGATGGCACTTGTAATAGTTATTCAGGGAATAATCAGATACAATTTGACGAAAAACATACTGGAATGTGGTGCTTTGACTTGTTATATAATAACTTATGGCAGTAAGTTATTTAATAATAAACTTTTATAATACAGTGATTCACCAAGCATATTCACCCCCATTTTTTCCCTTAATAATACATTTATTTTAATTCTGATTTTTGGAATTTTTATACTATTTATTATCATATTTTATAATTCTTGAGATTTGTTGTACTATTTAATGAGCGTGTACCAACTTCTGTTTTTCAAATGAGAACCCCCTGATTACGGTACATTATTTAGTGGGTCATTTTTTTGGAAATCTTAATATACTTAATTCAAAATTCAAACGAGTAGTTTTTTAATTATTAAAATATTTATACTAAGGATAATATTCGTTGAAAATGGATTTTAAAAATATAATCAATATTGGATTTAATATTTATATACTTTTACCATTTTTACAAATTATAAATTTTTATGGACTAATATGAATTAATATGGATTACTAACATTTTTAAACCACCATAACTTCCAAAGTCCAAACACATTATCATGGATTATCCTTAGTACCTTAGGCGTGCGCAGGGGGTATGCAGCTGCATACCCTGAAGCTCTGAGGGGTGAAATTCGACTCTGGAAAATAATCTTTTTTGCTCTAGAAAAATAATTAGTACGTATATTAAAATATTTACAATGATAACAGTATATGATTAAATACGAGGGAAATGATATCAGACTAACAGCAGGGATAACATTTGATTCACGTATAGAATGATAATGAGGTGATTGCAATGCTAACCACCATCTGACGTATGAACAAATTAAACATCCAGTTATCGGTTATCAATTACCAAGTAGTATTTGTAAAATGCATACTTTTTGTATTTGTCATAGTATTTGTTACAATATTTCAGTTTTTATTTTTTAAATAAGAATATTAGATTTCATAATCAATCGATCTGTCAATATGGAAAAGCTCGAACCTATAGTATAGTAATTATTTTAAATCCCGAAGACATCAATGATGTTTTCAAAAATGCTACCCAACGCAGAATGGTGTTATGATAAATTATAATTTTTATTTAAATGACAATAATTTTTTTTTTTGTTTGTTCAAGTTGTATGATTAATAATCATTAATCATTGATTATATATAATTTTTTTAATTAAACATTAATATATTTCAATATATACATATTGTGTATATATTTTATCAGAATTTTAATAGCTTAAATAACTTTTAGGGGACGCCAGTGGCAGCCTTCTGCATACTCTGAAAAAGAAGCCTGCGCACGCTTATGCTTAATACATAAAGTTAAAATAACTCAAAAACTACTAATTTGAATTTTGATATGTTAAAACTCTTAGAAAAATGATCAGCTAAATAAATTGTATTATAAAAGAGGGTTCTCATTAAAAAAAAATATAAGTTTGTTTCTCCACAGAATACTCCTTCAGTAGTACAATAAATCTCAAGAATTTAAAATATTGCCTTTAAGTATAATTCATAATTCTAAAAATCAGTTTTTTATGACTGCATTAATGAATAAAAAAAAGCATGAACATGCTTGGCAAATCACAATGTATGTACTCAAAAGTCATAAGTAGAATAAAAATTTATACGCTCTAAAAATTATTAAAATAAGTCATATAACATTAAGAAAAAAATTATAATTATGCAAATATGCAATGAATATTAATAATAATAAATAATAAATAATATTAAACAATTTTAAATTTAAAAAAATTAAAAAAAATGGTAGAAATAATAAATATTATGTAACACTAATGGTTTAAATAAACACTTTTCGACATTTCAAATAACAATATTATAATTATTAATATAAATGCTTTTTATTCTTTATTCTTCAAATTAATTATTAAATTGCTTTGAAGTCTGTCTGTTAATAAATATAATATATAAAATCTTCCATACCTACATACAATAAAATTAACTCATTTATTTGTAGTATGCAGCTCTTACCTGTTTTCTTTTGTTGATCTAACTGATTTTGTTTCAAAAACTATGTTTTTCATTTATTTTATGTTACAAAATATTATTTTCCATCTGTAAAAAATTGCTTGTTTTGTTTGTTCACATAGGAAATTAATTCACTTATTTTAAAACTAAAAACTACTAGCTTTTGTCTTATGAAATATTTTATTTTAGAATAATTATAATTGAATACTAATTTAATGTTGCAATATTATTTTTATATATATAATAGCTGTACCATTTCAGTGTTAATTATTGACAGTACAGTTTTAATCACCAAACAGATCGCTATATTTTTGTTTTGTAACTCGTGGACAATAAGATTATAGATAATCCAGTAATATATTTAGTATTTCAATTTGATGGCAATCCTTCTCTGCTTAACCTGTATTTTATTTTTAATAATATATAGGCTTGTACCCAAAGGTACATAATATTTATAAATTGTATATTTAATTTCTCAGAATTATGCAATAAATATGAAAAATAGCATTTGTTAATGACTTAATTAATATAATAGATAAAGGTTACTAACAAAAATCTTAAAATATGAAAAGGAAAATAATATACAATATGTGATCTAGTTATAAGCTGGAGTTATTAATAATAACATCTATACAATATTTATTTGTTTTATTTATTAATTTCAGTATTAGTGATATAAGTGAAAAAGTTGTGGTTACGTGCTACAATGTGAATAGTGCTTGTCGGAGACATAATGATACTGGTTCCTTGTTGAATTATGAATTAGCATTACCACCTACTGCTGGGATATCAGTATCTCGAATTCAAGTTTTAGTAAATTTACTGACTTGTATGGACATTTTAGCCCAAAATTCATCATTGTTTCCTATTGGCATAGCATCATCTCATAGTAATATACCAGTTGCATCAAATACGGCAGAGCCAAAAAAAGAATTTTTACACATTAACCGATTTGCAAGTATGTGTAATACTTGCTATTTTGATTTAAAATATTATTATTAATTTTTAAAATAATATATATTTTTAGGTTTAGGCGGTGGTTGGGGGTATTCTGGACACTCAGTTGAGGCTATTCGGTTCTCAGTTGATTGTAACATTGCATTAGTTGGTTTTGGCTTATTTGGAGGAAGAGGAGAGTATACAGTTAAACTTAAGGTAATATAGATTCGTTAATAATTGTTATAAGTAATAAAATAATGATAACATTTTTAATTTAATATTTGTATTGAAACTTATTATCATACGATTATGTTCTTTTGACTTTCTAATACCGCTATTTTAGAAGCTAAATTAAAATATATATTCTTTTTCATATTATTCAAATAATATAAAAATATCTTATATTTATAATTTATTTTGTATGATAAAAAATTTTGTGTAAAATGAAAATTGCTACACTAATTCAATATATTTTTGAGTAGATTTATGACATCGGTGTGGAAGGTGGTGAGCGAGAAACTGATGGTGAACTGTTAGCAGAAACTGATGAACTTACTTATGAATGCGCTCCTAGACAAAAAAATCCAGTTTTACTTGATGATCCTATTGCTCTTTTTGTAATTATTTTTAATTTATCTAAATTAATAATATTTTTTATAATTGTATTTTTGTATTTATTCAGGCAAATCGATGGTATGTGGCATGTGCTAGAATAACTGGTCCATCAAGTGATTGTGGCTCTAGTGGAATGTGTAGTGTTACGAGTGATGAACAGTAATACAGTAGTATTTATATTCTTTAATTGTCATTGTTATAATAATTTGTAATTTTATATATTAGAATTACATTTACATTCAAATCGTCTCGAAGATCAAATAATGGTACAGACATAAATGCTGGGCAGATACCTGAAATATTATACAGAACTGTTATTCCTGATTCACTATCAATATCAACTATACATACATCAAATAGTGATATTCATATATTAAGTGATGCTTTTTCACACTCAGTTAATAAGGTATTGAATTAAAATCGATTTGGAGTAATAAATGCTTGTTTTAGATCTTTATTAATTTTTATTGTTTATTTGCTTTACAGTGTTTTGTTTGCTTTGTGGTTTACTGTTGTTTTGTATTATACTGTTTTAATGTAAAAGTTTGTGTGTATATAATATTGTATTCTGTGTTTTTATCCTCTTCAAAATAACTGTGTTGTGGTCTTAATTATTGCCCAGAAAATAAAGGAAAAATTGTACCATATATCATAAAACACTAGTAAAAATATTTGGTGAAAATTTAAAGTCTACAGACATTTTGAATTTGGGTGGGTAATCTAATTTTTTGTAATATGTATATATATTTATTGTTTTTACTTTTTAGTATTTATAATTCAACTTAAAATTTTTGAAAATTAAAAACACAATATGTAACTACTTGTCTAGTATAGCACTATTTTGCCCATCGGTTCATTGCTCACACGCATTGACCTAAATGAGTCGCGTAGTCGTGCTCTGTTAGATTATCGAAGTTAAAATAAAAAGCAGTTTGCACTTTACCATTGACACAGTCGGCGTTAAAAAAATTACGTACCTATATAATTGTATTAAGTATTACTGTATTAGTGAATCATCGGTTCTGTCTTTTAAAAGTTTTGGCAGAAAAACCGATGAACGCACTCGGGCTTTGGGAAAGGTAAATATTAAAAACGGGACGCACTCTAGACATCCCCAAAGTTTTAACCATCATTTAAAATTATAGATTGCATCACGAAATGATCAGCTGTCATTATAGTTATATAGTAAATATATAGTTACGGTGTTAAATGTTTTATTATTATTGCGTGGACACTGGACATCACTTGTCTGTATCGGCAGTCACCCGTTTATGTTTGTTTTGTTTTGTTTTGTTTTATTTATTAAAATCATTGTTAAATAAAATGGTTTAAATGGATTTGTTCTGCTTATTAGGCATTGTAATCTCACCTAACGAATTAGGGGAGACGACGAGAAAAATAGACCTCGTTCATAAATACATTTATCATAATTATTTCCAAAAACAATAACATAATATATTGTTATTGTGGTTTTTTTTTAATTACCTTATCGCAATTTTTAACTCCCCTCTTTGCCAACATACACCATAATTAATTTATATGGTACCCGTATGTATCACACGTTCTTCTGGGCGTTTATATCTACGACGTTTCATAAAAAAACGATTACTAAGAACCTAATAGATATGCATATTATGTGGCGTACATCTTTTCTCGTCACGGCCGATTGATTGGCGTTTTTCTTCGTCAATTCCCTGTTAACTTAGGCACACGTCTTAACCAGCTACCAGGTACAGAATATTTTACGCCGTCAGGTGTGTTATTTAACTACCTACATTGGAAAAAAACGGACTGGCTAAATAAGATGTACATTTGATTGCCTATACACAGCGCCATATTATACTTAAAAAAATATCATAATATAGATAACTAAATAAGTAACAAAATTATTATGGACGTAATTCCAAAAGTTTTCTCTGAAATTAGTTTTAGAATATATTATGAATAAAATATACATATATTATGAATAAAAATATATGTATATAATTAATAAAAATACTCGTATAACGTCTGTATGCTTTTATCGTTTTGTTGACTTAAAATGTAGCTCGATGTATTTTTGATATGTTTTGTAGAATTGTAGATTGTGTAATGTGTTGAATTTTGTGTAAATGATGTTGGATTTGTAAGTCTCAATCCTAAAAGTTATTGTACTTATATTAAATGTAATTCATTTGTGGCGTTGCATAGTCGAACAGATCGGAAATTTTAAACACGAGTGTCTTAATAGTAAATATCCATCTACTGTTTACGTTTTGACTGTACATTTTTGTTCCCTAGGAATCTTTTAATGCTTTGATAACGTTACTTCGATGGTCATGGACAACAATCAATAAAAATATATCAGATATGTGTCTTCCATATTCGCAGAAAAACTTTTACATGGATTTATCGAAAAAAGATACATCGTCAATTTGTGAACTTAAACGACTGATGTTTATAAGTAAATCGTGTTTCCATTTACTTCGTTCTTATATTCACGAGATATATCCAGACCAAGGTGCTGATGATTAGTTTACAAAAAATATTGTAGTTTATAATCAATGAGTATATTTTACATGTATTTCAGTTGACAAAATTAAGCTACCTGAAACTGAAGCACTCGCCAGTTGCGTTGTTGAAGTTCGACAACTTTTGCAAAAAATATTATCAGATATTCGGCCACACGAAGTCTTAAAAAATGTTGATAGGATATTCATTGACAATAAAGGTAATATAATTTGCACTACCTAGTTAGTTTTAGATTTCGATCTCTATTTTCGGAATGAACTTGAAATTGTTGAAAGTGTGAGACCGAAAATTGATAATTCGTATATATAGATAATTTCTCTTGAAACAGAAATTAATTAGTAAAATAATAGGATGACGTTATTTTATATTTCATTTTATTACGGTCTTTTCCCTAATATGGTTCATTATGTTTGGAAGTTAAGCGATTCAATGTCACTTCTACGTTGTTTCAAAAACATGACGTAGGTAATTTATCCTTATCAAAATAAGTGAACAGGAAAAGTTAATTAAACGTAAAGAATGAGATACTAAAATTAAATGAATAAAAATTATATTATAATGATATTATAACTTATAAGTTCCGCGATGAAAAAAAATCAACTTACAAATTAATAACCAAGAATCAGATAATATTGCCATAAATCAACTAAAAATGATAACATTTAAATTTTATTCGTTTATAATGCGAAAAAAAATTGAATTAGTTTTTAAAAATATATAAAAGTAGTTAATTTATTAATGTAAAAAAAAAACAAGTTAAAAACGATTGATAATACTTTCTTTAATGTTTATCTTTATACATTGATTAAATACTAATTTTAGACTAAAATATTAACATAATTTAAATTCAATAGAAACGTTGTTTATAGTTTATCCACATAAAATGTGAAAAGGTATACATGGGTAAGACATTTTATTTGGTGGTATAAATATTGAGTCTATAATGTAATGAGGGAAGGCCTGCGTTTATAAAAAGTATTGCACAGTTGTAAATTTGACTATAATAACTTATATAAGTTATATAAGTTTATCAATTTGATCGTTTCAATAATTATTAAATAAATTTACACAATAGAATTCAGTATGATATATTATAAAAATAATAATAAAACATGTCTATTAAATTTGAAATTTAAGTTAAGATAGGTTTAAAACAATTTTGTTAGAAAAAACAACTCGCTTTTCTGTATAGGTATTGAGTGTACCTCCTCATTACAATGTACAGGTACGTTTTATTACAATGATTTATCATTGAAATAAAACGTAGTTTACGTAGTATATCATTGTATACGATGAACAAAGATTCCGAGCGGATTATTCAGCATACATTTCTAAGGATATTATTTTATTTTTGTGTCTGTCATTACCCTTTCTGGCAGTAAAACTGCTTCGATTTTCTTCAACAGTATCTTGTTTGATGGGAAAAAGAATCTAGTTGGTGTATTGAGGAGGTCGAACTTTAAAATTCTTAGTAGTTTTCAAAAGCACAGGGAAAACAAAGAAAAAATTAAGGAAAAACGGGAATTTTTACGCAAAATCGGTTTTTGACAAAAACGATTTTGGTTTTCGGTGTAATTCTAAAATTAATGATCGTTGGTACATGAAATTTTAACTGGTTGTTTATATTACCATTTTATATACACGATAAAATTTTCAAAATATTTTCATTTGTTGTTTTGAACCGTTTACGGACATTTTCAGTTTCCAATTTTTTAAAATTTTTTTCTATGAATGTTGGACCTAACCATATGTCCTAACCTAATAACCTTTTATTTGTTGAATAAAAAAGCTTGACAATTTAATACAAGGCTCCTAATATACTTTTACAATGACAATTGAAAAATATTAAAATCCATAGTCACAATTTTTTTACACAAAATATATACTTAGTAATCCGTCTTCGCTCAGAATCGTTTTTCTTGTACAGTGATATCATTGAATTCAAATTTAACACCATCAATTACAGTTACCTGTAACCTACTGTACAGCAGAGTGACACCCACTTGCAGTATGTTGAACTAGTTTTTCCCCAAAAAATATAGCATTTGTTATATATAGTTATAAATTGTTATTATAATATTGTTTCATATAATATTACTATTTACCATCTGTAATCCTGTTATTAACCTATAAGTCAATACCGATGTACCGTAGAATGGCGTGAATAAGTTCGGAATATAAATATTAAATAGCTTAAAATTAATCTATTTTTACGAACATTGAATTGAGTATAGTAATAAATAATAATAATAATACACAGTACCTATACTACCTGAATAATAATGTTTAAATTACAACAAAATAACTAAAACCTCAATTTTTTGTTAAAATATCCGATTACACCAATACTGAAGGTTCATGTTTATATAAAAATGGTGCATTTGTACTTTTATCAATTTAGTAGGTATCTCGTTTTACATTTTCAATCCTTAATAATTTAAATTTAAAATGTTTTACATTTTTAACCGCAACGTATTATTTTGCTGACTTTTGTGGTTTTGAAGATTTTGCAACATTAGAAATTTAAACTTAAAAATGTAATATTTAAAAAAATATAGTTTTTGGCCACTTTTTTAACTGTTGCTGAGTTCCAATGAACTGGACGGGTTGTACCTAATACCTATAGTATATGTAATGCATTATAGAATGCATTATACACATAGGCATTGTTGTGGCATAGTCACTTAAATATTTCATTTAATTGCTAATAGTTTGGATATGTGCACATTTTTACATGACATTTATGGCGCATTACGGACATGTTCATTTTAAGCATGCATAATAATCTATAAACTCAGTATCTTAGTCCTATAAATATTTTAGGTGGTTTTTTAACTTTGTTAAATAATATTATCTAATATTACGGAAATTCAATCATACAATTTTTTATATACTTAACAGATAAAACAAGATTTATAAAAGTACCTGTACATAAAAAAAGTAGGTAGCTGACAAAGGAATTTTGAGATTTTTTATGTTAAGTTATAATTATATGTTATAATTAATCTTGTATTAAAATGTCAAACAAAAATGACCTTTATAAAGTGCTTACCATCTGTGTCTACTTTCCAATCAATAAAAGGGTTATTTGAAACTTTTTAAGTACCTACCTCTACTCCAAAAAATATTAAATGAAAAAATAAATAATTATAATTTAATATTCCTTATAACTATGGCTCAGAATCTAAAAATAAAATGTTCAGAACATTATATTTACTTAATTTTTTTTTTAAATTTTATTTTGACAGGTAGTGAAGTAGTGAAAATTATGAAGTGTATTAAATGGTTAAATCAAATATTGAATGAATGTCATTTGACATTTGTGTCATGTTACCATGCGTTTTACCCAACACCTCATTTGAAATTATATTCACTATGGGAACTATTGATGGACAAAAAAAATGTAAGATGTTTTTAATATAACTGCCGTCTACAATATGCATTGTTTTAATTTTGTTATAATTTTGTTAGACTGATCATAAGAATAAGCTACTTACTGCGGTTGTGGCTGCATTGTGTAACACTACATATAGACTCCGTGAACTTATGCCAATATTGAAACCAACTAAACTTGATAAATCTGGATCATCAGATCAAGATCACCAGTATTATTATCCATTATTAGTCAACGCTACCACATCAACAGCCCATAATAGTTTAAAAAGTGAACCAAATTGGGAAGTATTACTCACACATCTTTTAGACATAATAGGGTTACCAGTGCGAAATGTGATACTGAATAGCAAAAAACCTGATAACGATTTGAAATCACTTTCTACTAATTGCTCGCATCTGGTCGCAAGAGTTGTAGCTGAACTATCATCACAAGCTACTTTATCTGAAGTAATAAAACGGACTTAACGACTGAGGTTAAATTTTAAGCATTACAATTTTCTTTTTTCTCAGGATGGAACAGAAATAGTTAATGAAAGAGAAATTTTGCTAACCACTCCATCTAGATTTGCTAAAATCAACCAAACCAAAACATGGAATGCTGGTAATGGTTCTCCTGATGCAATTTGCTTCTGGGTAGATCGTGCCGGTATTGCTATTGCCGGTTGTGGGGTGTTTGCTGGAATTGGAAATTACGAATATGAACTTGAACTGTTGGCTGAGGTTATAAATAATTTATTTTAAAAATATTTTTTTATTTTACGATCAAAATATATGTACTTAAATATTATATTTTTTATAGAAAAAACAGTTAGAATTTGATGAACCTCATGGTAATCGTTGGAAAAGTTTAATAGTAACTAGAGGGTCATTTGGGCCAGATGATAGTGCAATGAATTACGTTGCGGATCTAAAATTTGATCACCCAATACGAATTAAGGTAAAAAGGAAAATTTAATATTCATAATAATTAAATGCATACATTTATACATTGGTTTATTTACAATTATTAGGAAAGAGTTAAGTATGCAATCCGTCTAAGAAACTATGGTGGCCGAACAAATAATGGTGATATGGGGTTAAGTTGTGTAAAAGGACACGACAATACACTTTTTTCATTTAATACATGCTCATTAAGCTTAAATGGAACCACTCAATCTCGTGGTCAAATACCCTATATACTTTATTATAGGTAACATGACTATGATGTACAATTTTAAATTGATTTCTAATTTTAAATTACCTTTTGTTAGTAACAGTCATGATAAGAATTGCGATTTTGAACGTAAAGTGTGTAATAAACTCAAAGCTCGGGAGAGTACATTATCATTGTTGAAAACAGTTGTAGAAAAGTCAATGGAGTTAATAAATATGAGCGTTGAAAAATTAAAAAAAGATCCACTTGTGTATAAATATTTAGGAGAATCAGCTATTGTGAATGTATTACTTCCGTTGGTGTTGGCACATATCGGCCCGCTGACATCTTTTTCCAAAGACGCGAAGGTATAATAATCTTTAATAATTATTTATGTGGTATATGATGTTAAACGCTGTGGAGTAATATTATTTAACGTTATTTGCATGCATTATCCATTTTCAGAGCGCTATTCATGTGTTGGAGCTCATAAACAAGTTGCTACCGGCTGTGACGTCCATTAATTTGTACTCCGCTAACAAATTAGACGTAATGCATAAAGACCTGAGTGATAAATTGGATGGGTCAAAACAGTTCGGAAAGTTCAAATCCTCCAAAACTGAAATCAGAGACTCCAAATGCACAACAACGTCCCATCATTATGCGTGGGTTGAAAGTGATCATCCATATACAGCTGCGACCGTGTCTAATTACAAGTACTTACCTAATTAATTTATTATAATTGTTGTTATTTAGTTATTATTTACTGTTAAATTCATCTTAAATTACTCTGGTGTGTTTTTTGTTATCAGAGTTAAATTCCCAAAAGAAGTCAAATGGTTGTGTCTAGAGTTTGACCCACGAAGTTGTACTGCACAGACTGAAGATTCATTGCAACTTTACATACCAAATTATCGAGATTATAGTGATGATGATAACAAACACGTAGTTACTACTCCTTACATACCAGTTTTGAAAAAATTTAGTAATGACCCAATGGAGTGGCCGTTCGCTGCTGTTATGTTGCCCGGTATATATTATATTTAGATTTAAAATTTGTTAGGCACGAAGGCATTTTGTTTTATCAATATATTAACATATAGGTAACGAAGTTATGTTTTCACTGGAAACTGCGTCAGATTATCTTAAGAACGACAGGATTTCTCGGTATGGCTTTCGTTGTCTAGTAATTGGGTACGAAGTAGAAGAGCTAAGTAAATATCAAGCTCTTGGCTATGGTCTCGTTCATTTGGAAACCGAACTTTCGTTCCTCGGAGGGATGTGCGTCTCAACACTCTTAAAATGTGATATAATTTTACCCAACGGTAATTATACATCCTTGAAAAGTTTGAAGTTAAAAAAAAAAAGAAATATATTTACCAAATCGTATTCGTAGACGATTCTACGCATGGCTTGGAACAAGGTTCAGTATCAGCTGCTGATCAGGTGTATGCTAAACACTCGGGGTTATTGAAAAAAGGATTTGCGTTGGCGCCATTTCTCAACATTCAGCAGGTCATGGACGGGGTTTTGCCATTGAGGTGAGTGATTAGAATTATATTACTTAAGTCCTGCATGCACGTGGACTATAATCCGTTATTCCATTGGTGAATGAAATGTAATTTATCATTATAATTTATAAATACTCCTCGGGGACAATTGAATAGACAATAGGATAACGAGAATACCCGGAGACCAGTGTTTTTGTTACAAGCTCAGTGTTTTGTAATGGTTTTAAGTTTAAATGTAGGAATAGAAACTTAAGTAACTTTGAAGTACTAGGTACTTAAATATTCAAATAAAATTGATTTACTACGACTTCGAGTAACATTTGGACGTGTAATTAACTAAAATAAAATTATTCAAAGTATTTCATTAATTTTTTTTCTTAAGAAGATTATTCGACTTTTGTTAAATATTCTACAATTATTGTTCTTTGCAATACATAAATTGAATAAAAATGCATTGTTATTCAGAGATCTTCTTTTTAAAATACTAGGCATATAGCTAAAGTAATATATAACAGTATAATGCGTGAATGATATTGGCGGATAAGCATTAATTAAATCGTAAATAGAAATAGTATTAAAAAAAATTATTTTATCTATAAATAATCCCATTATTATTTTCAATAACAATTAGCATTTATCTATTCTGTGACCGTAAAAAATCCTTCAAAACATAAACCTATATTACTGGTATACTATCAAATTGAATTAAAATATATATGTTATAATTTTATTAACTTTTTAATTTATTCTCTTTTTCTTTGTATTTTCATTATTTCGAAAACTATTCTGATACAAATGATTTATGAATATTCATTTGTTTTCAAAACAAAAAAAAATGTTCTGAATTTTGGTCTTGTATATTGTTTTGATATATTTAGATTTGTTTTAATATAAAAGATTAACAACAAGAACTGAGAAGTATACCATTTTAGACACTCCGAGTCACTAAATTAGTACATAGTAATGAGTAATTTTAATTACGTTAATTATTTTCAAATGTAGCATAGCATTAAATATTATACTAAATATAATTAATCAATATGACTATAGTGACTTTAAATTTTGGTTAGTAATTTTTTCATGGCTTTTTTGATGATACAATTTTTTAGATTGTTATCTTTATTTCCTATTTTTTAATTTAAAATTATTACCATCGTAAATTTAATAATATAATAGTATATTAAATATTTTCTCTCCGCTTTACTGCAAATGTATGTTTTAAATTGTTAACATAAATAATTAAAACACATTTTTGGCGTGAATAATATCATTAATTAATTTGTGTTATGTCGTGGAATGTCGGTCCTCAGTATTTTAAAGACAATGCCTTAATCTATAATATGTCATATATATATATATATATATATGTAATAATACATAGCGATTCGTTTATTATCTCCTTGATATTGTAGGATAATGTACCTAGTATTCGTTGTCTAATAGTTATCTAATGTATAAAATTAACTTAATATTAATTCAGTAAATGTATTAACAGCAAGATTACATTTTTGCAATTCCCTGTTTCTTGTTATTTCTTTAAGTTTTTTTTTCTCATGGTAAATTAAAATCTTGACAGGGCACAATGGGATAAATGAATTACTAAAATAAAATGTGTATACGTATGCACGTTTAATATTATTATAAAAGGAAAACATTAGATATTTATTGTTCAGAAGCAAATTGTTTAACTCAATATAACACAACCCGTTTATTTGTTCACTGGCGACTGGTGGAGATAATAACATACCTAGTTATAGTATAATTATAATTATTATGAAACATTATTGCAGTCAGTCGTTTGCCTACAAAACATGATCACAAATAAAATACAAAATACCGATCATATAGAAACTGACGTCTTAGGCCAAATTTGTTCATTTGTACATAATATATTATTATTATATAATACAGAAAAATCGGAATAGGTTACAAAAATCAAAAAAAAATCAAAATCATAATCATAAATATAAATAAAAACCATATAGGAGTCGGGAATAAAAACCCGTTACAAATCACTGGTCAACGGTTGTGTTGCTCTCTGATGTTGGTAATTAGTCGTAGACCTGTACTGACTGTCTGTCGAACCCGTGCGCTCCACGATCACATGCAACTCCGTTTCTCTGTAAGTCTTTCCCTCGGGCATGACCATGACATGTCTGCGCTTGTCGCTCCTGCCGCCTCCACCGCCGTTCTTCAGTATCGAACGGTTCTTGAGCGGCGACGACGCCGGCACGTTGGTCCACTGCCCCCGCTTGCGCTTTTTGTACCAGGCCCAGCCGACGAGCGTGGCCGTAAGTGCGGCTACGGCCACCACGGCCACGAACGTCAGGTAGTAACGGCTCATCAGTCCGCCGCTTCGTCCGCCACCCGCCGAGCAATGCGCCTCGTCGTACTGCTGCGCTTTGACCAGCTGACCGAAGTTGCCGACGCCGTCGTCGTCCGGTGTCGCGCACCACGCTGTCTGCTCAACCACCCAACTGGGACGGTCGGTGTTCCGCGGATAGTCCTTGGAGAATGCCACCAGGTCGGTGCGCCACCGTGCCGGGCACCCGCACGCCCGTCCCACGATTAGCCAGTCCATGCGTGGCCTGAACCCGTTGGTGTCGAACACCAACGCGTCGTTCTCGAATTCGGCCACCGTGTTGTTCTCGAACACGAACTCCTGATAATCGGCCTCGGCTACCTTGTGCGCGTCCACTGTGACCCCGGCGAATGCGCCGCGCTCCAGCCGGCCGAACGCGTTGTCTTCGACGAACGCGGGCCCCCGGCACTTGACCTCGAACGCACCGCTCCTCACGCACTCCGCCCGGCTGTTCTGTACCCGGAACACCTTGGGCCCGTGCACGCGAAACGCATAGCTCTCGACCACCTGGAACGTCACGTCGTCCAGATGGAGCTCGTCGTGCACCGTGATCTCTGTGAGCATGCGGCTGGGCGCCGCACCCTCGAACCGGCACCCCTTTAACACAAACTCGTTAACGGCGAACTTCTTGAACGCCTGCTGCTCCACCTGTCCGAATACTGTGTCCCTGAACTCGATCCGGCCCGTCGTCCCGGTCAGGCTGCTGAACGCGAACGCCCGGACCACGTCGATCCGGACTCTGTTGAACGTGGCCGACCGTAGTCGGCCGCGGAACGCGTAGCTGGGCAGCTCCGGCACTGATGTCACGTTCGTGATGGACACCGTGAGGCCCTGGTGGTGATGGTGCTGCGGTTGCTGTGGCGGCTGTCCCGTGCCACCGCCACCGTTTTCCGACCAACCGAACGCTTCGGCCGCCATTTCCAGCCGGCTCACCGATTCGATTTCCACGGTCCACAGCGACCTTGCCCCGTCGAACGCCATGGCCATCACTTTGACCCTATCGCATTGCGTCACGATCACATTGGTGGCCACTCGTGGCACGTGTCCCGGTCCTTGAGCTTTCAACACGAGATCCTGAAACATTAAACCGAAAGTTGTTATCACTTATAATGCTTTTTGTGGATATTAATAATATTACAATCAGGCTCTTTTAAAATCTGATTACTTTTTATTTACGCTACAACGCGTGTATAGAGCGAGCGGTTTAGTGTATGCGGTCTACCCCGTATGTATAATATTTAATATTATATAATAATATGTTGGTATGAGTTTCCATGGGATCCGGAGATGTTATTTTGTTCTACACGAAAATCGGTAATAAATTATAGTTTATCCGGCGGTTGGGCGGCTAGTACGACGATGGCGGTCAAGAAAAACAATGGTACACGCGCGACCGAAAGGATTAAATGGCCGTCCCGGACCCCAAACGATCCCTTTGTCGATTTCGGAGGTCTGCATTTCGCGTACAAAATGTGTGTTTGTGTGTGTACAGAGTTCTTGATGTTTCGGATTAGGTGGTGGCTTTTGTGGGGAAATATTGTGCAGTAGTGCTATTTGCTGCAAAACTTTCGTACAACGAAAACACGTCGGCTAAGTGCCTTCTCGGTCGCTGGAGCTCTTGCCTTGACCGCTGCGGGGTGAAGTGTATGGCTAGAGGATAATTCCTTGAGTTTTATTTACCAGGGGTCGATGGGTGCATGATGCATGTAGTCGCAAAACACGATCGCTTCGGTGGTGGCGGAATTCCCAGTTCACGGTATCTCAATCGTACGTTTACATTTCTTTCATATACTGCAAACGCCGTCGTTTAAATACGTTAAAACGAACACGCGGTTGTTATCTCACCTTGGGAATTGTGGATTCCCCTCTCCACTTGCCATTTCCCAATAGCCTCCACCAACACTCGCACCCCACGAGCCACGACTAATAATTAATGTCAGTTTATTTAACGGTGCAGGGTGCTCTCTCCACGCCGCCACTGTCGCCACAACGTTATTTCGCGAGCTTTGGTATATTTTATTTTTTTTTCCTCCCTGTCCGGGAAATACTTCGACAGCGTTCGCTAACGATGACATATGTGTACCCGACTGAAAATAGATGTTGGGCTTTACATCATTGAGGATTTTAAAAGTGACCCGAATGCGCTCTTATTTTGTTCACGTCCCGGGCTTTTGTCCCGATCGATCTTCCTCTACCCCGGGACCCCGTTCCCCTCTTTGTATACTTGGTTTTTTCTTTGGGTCTTCTCATTAATTAATCGCCATCGGATAATCGTGTCTCGACTCATTTCTTTAGGAAAAAAAAAATTGTTGAACCAAAAACCTGTCATTAAAAGAGGCAATGAGAAGCACCGCGTGTATTTTTTCATTTATTATATAAATAACATTTCTCCCCCTCATTCATAATGTTATTATTAATGTAACAAAATCTAGGTAAAAGAAATCTTTTTAAAAACAGCTGGTCGAGGGTAAAAAATTTGTGAGGTGACACTTTTTTTTTTATTTATATAAAAGGTTACCGGCTTACAAAACACGCGAAAAAGTAATTTGTGTAGCGTTACGTTGAAATTATCATCAACTATGCGTTACGACACGCCCAACTCTAAAAGAACGGAGCGACGAGGGATGGAAGGGCCCGAGTTAAATATATTTAAATGGAAATTTCAAAAATATCACAAGGAGAGGAGAAAACATATCGTATAAAAAAAACCACACCTGTTCCAAGGGGGTCTAAAAGTTTTTTTTTGGCAAGTTTTCCGTCATATTGCTTACACCGCGCGGTGGTATACTCGTATACAATTTATGGAAGTAACGCCAGCTAGCCATATTATACTCATGCACACCCATTTTCTTTCACATTTATGTCTATATTTTTTTGTGTCCGAATTGACGTGGATTTACCTGCGATTCGTGAGGCACTTTGCGGCACGAGCACCGGACTTGTGACTGGGAGTCATCGCACTCGCACTGCGGTGTGTCGCATAGACTTTGAGCACTGGCCACGTGGCCACTGATTACCAGCACAGCCGCGACCAGTGCAGTCCACTGATGCAACGGCGTCATCGTCCGCCGTCGTCCGACCGTTCCCGCTGGTCATCGCCACTTGTCCATTTTAGGCCTGCCGCGCCGTCGTCGTAAACGCGTCCGTCGACCATTCACTGTACTGAAAACAATACACAACCGACACGTTATATTATTCACACGAATAATTTTATTTGCTTTTCGCCCACTTATTCATTATATTTGTATTCCTACTTAGTAGGTACACACAGAGGTGTCACGTATATAATGATAATGCCTATACCTAAAGATAACGAAAGAAAACATTCACTCGAACCCAATCGCATACGAACTCGTAATATTTTATGACTATTATAATATATGTGTCAGTATTATAGTGCCTAGTATTAAGTACAATTTAAACTAATCTTTATGACTCAGTATTTTTCACGCAGTTGTGTATGCGGAGGAATAAATAATATTATCCTGATTGTATTTCGGTTATAAGACTGGGAAGGAATAAAAATAAACACAGCATTTGAGTACATTTTCCCCAGAAAGTTAATGGTGCAGATGGTGGGAATTCGGGTGTAATAATAAGAATTAAACATTACCAAGACAAGGAATAAATACGCCCTCAGAACTAGGGAGGTAGCCGAATTACATCTTAACTGTAATGACAAAGTGTTTGTACGTTTGAAAAACGAGCTCCCTAGCCAGTGATGGACGTTCGCTTTTCCCCTAAAACCGCTTTAGATGTGTCAAAATAGTCTCGTAAAATATTATACGCTTATGAACTTTTGAGTAGGTACCACTTTGCTACATGGTTTTGTATGACACATAGATAGTCACTTATTTCCCACTTTGTCGTGCCGTCCGTGGCATGTACGTGAATTAGTCGCATAAGTCGCTGGTTTCTTGTGTATATTCTCCCTGTGTATACTTTAATGCTTACGCTGGCTTGTAAATGGACCGTTTCCCCCTCTCTGAATCGATTATTCTGACAAGCACTTAGATATCAAACAAATAATTTTGAATAACTTATTGACTCTGTTGTTGAGCGTTTTAGTATGGAATAAAATAAAATATACATTCAAGTACATGCGAAAAAATACATAATGTTCCTAATTAACAATTCTCTTTTGCACCGTTGTCGCCATGTGTTCCCATGAGCATCCTTCCGGTGGAGCAAACATACTCGAATATCCTTTGACAACGAACCCTTGACCCAAATAAATTGTATTCCCATACAATGAGGGTAACAAAAAAAAAAAAATCATAATTCCGGTTTTGCAACGTTTACCCAAACTCCCATAATAAACGTGCCGATTTCTAGTACAATGCGACGGTGACGAGGGTTAGGGCTGATCGTTAAAACATTCTTCGACACTTTATGGGCCACAGGAGGCGCTTTTCCGCGGCGATTCCTGGCCGATTAAACGCTCCTAGGGTTTAAGTCGTAAAAAAAAACAGAAATAAAAAAAAAATGGATTAAGTCACGTTTTCTGCCTATCCCTAATAAAAACCCCTCTGAATAATTGCGGTATTAACCGTATCAAATATAAATAAAACATTCGTACGCCGAGATTTATTTATCGAATTTGTCTGGGTCTTGTATATTATTATTTTGTGTGTGTGCGTGATTTTTTTTATCATAAAATGTCTATGGTACCATAATATTATTATGTACTTATTAAAACGCTGGCTTAGGTTATGCACACAGCCCGAATATTCGTAAACAACCCGGTGTAACGTTAACCATATATTAATAATTTCCGAGACGCCGCAGAAAGTTCTTTTTACCTTCGTGGCGGGAAATATTAAGAACGAAGCACATTTATTATAACTTATAATTAGCAATTTGTCTATCCCCGGACACGCCGTAGACGGGAATACATTATTATTATCTACCTACATACCCTCAGATAAGTTTTTTAGCTTTTTTTTTTAGATGCACACCCGTATAAACCTAACCGCGCTATCCATACACAACGCGACAATGCGTAGTACAACGAATAATTTATAATGCTTTCAAACACTTGTTATTAGGTGTAATAATATTATATATAGGTACTTAAAGTTTTTAATTTTATGTTATTAGTTATTGTAATAATAGTCTTGTCGGGAGTACCTCTGTGACTCTGTCTAATCCGATACCTTTGTTATATACTAAAAAACTATGATAATAAAGAATCTGAAAGAAATGATAGACACGTATCGAATTTTGTTGTTGCAAATATAAACCTTGACGACATAAGTCAAGAACTCAGCGACGGCCGCTGTTCTGCAAAAATATGCGTTTATATAATACGATAATATTGTATATATATTATATTATTATTATACAAATAACAGGTATTCGTTAAGGGCCATGAAATTCGTGTCTGTAAATGTGTTTTCTGTTTATTGCTTATACAGTTATACAGTTTAGTTACAACTCAACGACGCTGGAAGCGTAATGTGTATATTGTCGAAGCACTCGACGTGATTATCAAGGAATCGTGAGGAGAGTATAAGAGCTGCAGGTGTCGTGGGGTGTTTGTTTAGAATATGGAAAAACAATAATTTTCTATTTGTTTAAAAATCACGCAATGTTTACCTAAGTTTTTTGCAACGGAAAGAGAGAGAGAGAGAGAGAGAGAGAGAGAGATAGAGACATATAGCTAGTTGATCTTCTCTTCTTCTTCGTTAAGATTTTTTTTTATTTTACCCATTTGACATTTTTAGTTTTTCATTTTACAACTCCCATACATTTTATATTGCCAGAGAATAGTAATGTTTTTGGGCTAATCGATAAATATTAAATATACATGCCGAGTTGACACGACCAATGGGTTTAGTTGTTGCAATAATTAATAAATCATCATATTATAATACGTCCGATAATTGTGTTGACAGTTCACACACAATCGAATGTGTGACGTGTAATCGCTTGCGTGTTTAGAACGCTGGAATAAAATATTGTTCAGACCTTTGAGGAAAACAACCCGCGTATTCTGTAGAATAATATTATTATAGAAACAAATTAAATCCCACTCATATGCACATAATAATATTATACACCTTTTAATTAAACTATTCATTTTAGCTTAACCCTGTTTAGTTATTACATATCATTAATACTTTTATCATATATTGGGTCGAATTGTTATTTTTATGGAGGTACGGACGATTATTCTACACTATTTAACTATTGCCTATTGGGTTATGCATTTATGATAAATCTTATCGAAAAACAAACATCACTATAGATAGAACGTATCCACTGACCTACATTTAGGGTACTTTTGTTTTTGCAAACACGTGTTCATCCGTCCGTGTTTTGATGTTTGTTTAAAAATATTATAATTGCAAGGCGCAAGTAAGTGGAAAATCCCTCAAAAAGCCGCCACGCGTACGCTGTTTTAATTTTTCAACCGATTATTTCTTTATAATGTGTTTTTATATTTTGCAACCAGGAGGTAAAAGAAATTTGTAAATGCTCATTAATTTAAACTAAGTGTGGAAAACTGGAAACACAGTCATCGTAGCTTTTCAAATAACTTCCGCCTAGGAAAATCTCGTTTAAACACACAAACTCCTCTACAAAAGACAAAATGTTGCGATGTTTTTCCCGTTCTATATATATATATATATATACTTACTATTATTCATAGTAGACGCGGTTGTGTGGATATGTATAGTGTAACTTTCTTAGAACCCCGAACTTAAACCAAAATTATTAACTTATTACTGCCACCCTTTGTCGGGTTAATGTTTTACGTATATATCCGCCCCCAAAGGATAATTAATCACCTTGTTGCCTGCATCTATCTGAGTTCGTAAAACCACCACGTCAATAATTACAGTAATGCAGTAATGCAATTAAGACGCGTTTTTTTACTGCCCACCACGATATACATAGGTCTATTGAAGTAAATAATTTTTCATTTTTTTAATGCAAATTCGATTGCAGAACTCAATTTATTATTACAAAACGAGGCTATTTTTCGCTGTGATTATCAAGCGTCTAGATACATTTTGAAACATTTAAAGTTATTTATACGATTTTCAGTGGAATTAAACCTTATCCGATAAAATATGAATGATTCAACAGCCGTTAAATATTATAATGTTTATACCGAACAAGTCCGTACCTCCTATTACTTTAATACTTTTGTCAGCTTTAACTTAAGCGTGTCAGAAACTTTTCCAGGAGTTTATCATATTTTAACTCTGTGAATTAGGAGGAAAAATCACTGTTTTGAATTCGAGTTTTGTGCGTTATTATCATCTTTGATTGGACTGTCTGTTTTAATTACTTTTTTTTATTACTCGTTTAATTTCGTTTATAAAAGAAAAAAAAATTAAATTAATTCAGAGAAATTTGTATGAAATAAGCGACGACTTTGTCGGCAAAACTTTTATTTTTATTTATGATTAATCACTTAACTTTTATACCATGTTTCTTCCCCCTCCTCCTTCAAATATAACAATAACGACAGCAGAAACAACAACAATAATAATGATACTATATAATATGTGAGTGTGATATGTTTGGTGAACTGTTTGACTGTTATAATTAGCGGTGGGCAATGAATGGAAATATTATTACAAGGAGAGCAAAACTTCTATAATATGTACACCGAAAGTTTTTCGATTTTGCCCCGTCTGCGGCGATGGTAACGGTGGCTGCCTTTTCAGTTTTCACCGAACGAAATTGATTTCTACAAAATCCAATATAATATATATATATTTGTCCGAACACCGTGGAGATGTCGGTGAAGCTCCATTAATTTTTACCCCACACAATGCGCCCGCACGAATGATTAATGAAAAAACGTCGCGTTGTACTTAAATATGATATCGTATCGTTTAAACAAGAATGTGGTGTGCGTGTGTGTATTTATTGTGTATAAACGTTTATACACCATTGTATTTTCTCGAGGAAAAAGCGTTTTCACGTGAGAGGATGAGGGTAAAAATGTATTTCTCTAAGTGCAGTGCGAATATATTATGTGTTTTACCCGTTACCCGGTTTTGTTTTTACTCGCGTCTCGCGAATTTGCTTATTTTTATTCAAA